GGAAATGCGCCCACCTGCCCCTTTAAGTGCTAGTCCACACAGCTAGCCCCCCCCCCTGCCCAAGAAAGGCAATGCTGGAAAGCTTAAGGACAAACGCAGCATCAAGACAGTGGCTAGTCTCCCCTCGCCCCAAGGGGAGGGAGTCAGCCCATGTCCTGTGCCCCGCGCCAAGAGGCCGAGCGAGAGGCAGGGACAAAGTTTACAAGGCCAAGTCTTGGCGAAGGCAGGGACCATGCCACGGCCGGGTGGCACCGGGGCTGCCAGGAGCCGGCTTGCAACAAAAACAGGCCCGGCTGGCGTGGACTCCTTCGTAATTAGACACAGGCACCCGAGGGGGGGAGGGCCCCGCCCCTTTTCCTAGTTATGATTCATTCTTTCCCAGGAGGGCACACCCACGGAGTAGGTTGGGAGCCCAGCTGCAGGGATGGTGGTGTGGGATTTCCCTCTAGGGTTGCCCACAGGACTCAGAGATAAGGAGGGGATGCAGGGACATGGCTCTAGGGAGACTCCTTCCCAGACCAGTCCCTGCTCAAAGCCACGGCAGCGGGGTCCTGGCAGGGTGGGAGGGCACATCTCAGTGGATGTGTGTGGCAAGGGGAAAGGGGGGGGTGGGTGAGAACAGGCCTCGGGTGGGGCGGGCAGAGGCCACGCAAACTCATTCCAGCGCTGGGTTTGGTTGGAGCAGCACCCACGCAGGGAAGGAAAAAGGGAGTTTAATCCACACCCTCGTCTAGCAGGTTTCTCAAGGTGGCAGCTTCGCCCCGCCCACCTCCCCAAACAGCGAGGAAAGGGCCCACGAACCAGGGGCTGGGCTGGAAGTGAGCCGCCTGAAATCGGAGGGGGCAGGGGACTCCCCAAGGGAGAAGTGCTGTGCGTGTGAGAGGGTTAAGAGGGAGGGGGGAACAGCTCCAGCTTGGCACGGCCGCTTTGCACCAGGTCCTGCAATCTCCGAGTGGATTTCCCCCTCCCCACCTCCTGGAAGGACAGGGTTCCCCCCAAGGCCCACTGACATCCCAGAAGACTGACGGCCCCCGGATTTGCACCAGGCCCATGGCCGCCTTCCCCACAAACAGGACCGTCAGCCGGCAAGGACAGGTAGTCCCAGGATTCGGGGGAGAGCCACTCCTCTAACTGATGAATGGGCTCTTTGATTCTCCCCGCCCACGTGCTGGGGAAACTGGTTTGGGAGGAGACATGTGGGCGTGTCTGCGTCTCCCCAGGACGCCAGCTCCCCTCCCGCCAGGCTAAGCTAGTCACCAAGGCGTGCACGGCCCAGCCCCCTCCCACACGGGGGACAGCCCTTACGCCTCACCTGGGCTGGGTCAGTGGCAGAGAATGGTGGGGCAGGAGGATAAATAAGGATCAACCGAGTTTTAGTTTGATTGGGACATGCAGCTGTCACTCCCAACGGACAAGGACACTCTTATAATCGTGGGTTATTGGGAAGCTGGATGGGGGACCCCCATAAACCTGCCACCCCAATGCAAATATCTTAAGTGCCTAGTATAAGATCTCCAACACCCACCCCACCTCCTGGTTGGTTCTGCAAACCGCCAGGACATAAGGAAAGGGATGGATTCCATGAACCACAGGTGAGAAGGGCTGCTGTCGAGGGCACACCAGTAGCACCAGATGATCTGCCCCTGTGAACACAGCTGGGGGTGGGGGAGGGAGGAGGAGAGAGAGTCTACACCCATCCCCTGCTTCCCAAGTTAATTAAATAATAAACTCTACAGGATTTACAATCAAACAAGAGGAAAAAAGGCTAAGAGCCACCCCCCCCCAAAAAAGCATTCATGACACCCTAGGCCCCCCATTTTAGGGGGTGGGTGCCAAGGTACCATAGCAGGGATCCAGTCCCACCCCACCGGCAATTTTGAGAGAGTGAGAGAGAGAGACACAAACGGATGAGTGGGGGAGGATGGGGCTATAGGGTGGTGGTGGGTTGAATAAGGTTTCACTGGTTAGAGACTCGTGCGTGGGTATAGAAAGCCGGGATTAGGATTTGTAATTGGATGTCAGCCACATCAGACCTTCGCAGAGTCCTTCCCCCGACGTCGCGCACGAGGGCTGGACATACCAATTCCTGTCCCTAATGCGCGTCAGTCCCAGTTTCTCCTGGATTTCGTGGGGCTTCATGGCGTCGGGTAGGTCCTGCTTGTTGGCGAAGATGAGGATGATGGCGTCTCGCATCTCCCGGTCGTTAATGATGCGGTGCAGCTCCTGCCGGCCTTCGTCGATCCGGTCGCGATCGGCGCAGTCCACCACGAAGATGAGCCCCTGGGTACCCGTGTAGTAGTGTCTCCAGAGGGGCCGGATCTTGTCCTGGCCCCCCACGTCCCAGACGTTGAACTTGACGTTCTTGTAGGTCACCGTCTCTACGTTGAAGCCCACGGTGGGGATGGTGGTGACCGACTGGCCCAGCTTCAGCTTGTAAAGGATGGTGGTCTTCCCGGCCGCGTCCAGTCCTAGCATCAGAATCCGCATCTCCTTATTGCCGAAGATCTTGGACAGCATTTTCCCCATGGCTGCAGGCGAGCAGTACAGTCCATACAAGGCTGGAGGAGAAGGAACACAGCGAGATGAAGTCAAGTGCAACGCAGGGGCCTGTGATCTGGCTAGCCTCAACTCTGCTTCCTGCGCGCCACCCCACCCCGAGGCAGGTCACTGCAAGGCACAAGTATTCAGAGGGTGAACGGGCCGGGATGCAGGAGATCGGGACTCATATCCCAGCTCTGCCACCAATTCCCACTTGAGCTCTCAAGGTCTCGGTCTTGCCCATCTGTAAAATGGGGGAAACACTGTCTCCCCACCCTTTGTCTTCTTAAATGGGAAGCTCTTTGGGGCAAAGGAAGAAGCAGACCAAGCATGTCACAGCGCCTAGGTGCGAGTGTTAACCACAAATCTGACATGGAAACCGAGGCCCTCCAAAATATTCAGGCTCCATGCGGTGCAGCAACACTTCACCCACCTTGATCACAGAGGATCTCAAAGCTCTTTAACAACTCCCCCATTTCACAGGTGGGAAAAACCAGAGGCAGAGGGGACAGTAGGTCACACAACAATCAATGTCTCGTTTCTACAGTCCCACCTCCCAGTTCCCTGTTCCAACTTCTACCCCCCACTCCCCTCCCAAAGCTGGGAATAAAAGCCAGGAGTCCTGACTCCTGATCCCTCCCCTCCTAGGAGCCCTGAGCCATCCTAACCACCTCTCCTCGTAGGAGGCCAGATGTTAACAGCAAACCAGGAAGGGATCCCACACCTCTGAGGACAAAAGCAGAACTGTAGCTAGTTTCACCAAACGCAAAAGCGTAGGGAAATGTCACGCCATTACTGGGGTCCCTGGCCCGGATCCTCAAGAGGTATTTAAACACTTAACTCACACTGAAATCAGTGGCGGCCTTGCTGCTAGGGTGACCAGACAGCAAGTGTGAAAAATCTGGACAGGCGGTGAAGGGTAATAAGAGCCTATATAAGAAAGAGACCCAAAAATCAGGACTGTCCCTATAAAATCAGGACATCTGGTCACCCTACTTGCTGCAAAGAAGCCAGGATTACCCCAGAAGTACAGGCAGGGCATCGGGGCACTTCAACGCAGCTCCTGACGCCAGCTGTTTATTGCTACCCTAGGGGAAGGGGCCAATTTCTCCACCAAGTCCCTGGCTAGCCTGGGGAGCAGAGCCCCCATCCCCCCTTGGGATTTTGCTAAGCCAGCATCTGATTAGACATTCTTAGAGAACAAGCCCAGAGCTGCCTTGAAGGTCAAACTTGAGGGGAAGTTTCCAGGAGCTGGGAGATGGAAAATACCCATCATCTGGGCTGGTCTGCCTCGCATCCAGGGCACAGCGGCTCCACGGACTGGCATCTGTCCCCCTTAGTCCCATCCTGAACAGTTCTCCTCCTCGTCAGTCTGTCCTTCCCAAGCTATGGGAGGAGGAAGACTCCTTTTGCCAAAAAGGAACCGAGGGGAGGCAGGCAACAAACTCGGAGCCCGACTGCCTCCAGAGCGTCAGAACACACTGTAGCAATTTCAGCGTCTCAAAATTCCACAGTGGGAACTGGCTTCTTGACGCCACACCAGCCTGCACCCTTTTCGTTAAACCGGTTTAATGGGACAGGTGTAGACACACACACCCCCTGCCCCATGTGGACGACTCTCACGACACTTTAAGCGCATCTTGTTTTGGTTTAGCGGGACCCTGTCCCTCGTGGGTCTGATTTCGGTTCAAGGCAATCAGAAACAGTTTTAGGTGCCCCCCGCCCCCCAGTAAGCCACTACTCTGCGCCTGAAATCAGAGCACCAGCCCCCAATTTAACAGCTTCGTGAAACTGGGGCAAGTTTGTGGAGGTCCCCCAGCATGCCCCCCCTCTTCCCCGCATGGGGACCCATAGGAACCCAGACAACAAGGGCACCAAGTCCCTTTCCCCTCCGAATCACAGAATCCCACCCATAAACAGCGCAGACTCCAGAGGGATAGCTCAGTGGTTTGCGGATTGGCCTGCTAAACCCAGGGCTGGGAGTTCAATCCTTGAGGGGGCCATTTAGGGATTGGTCCTGCTTTGAGCAGGGGGTTGGACTAGATACTTCCTGAGGTCCCTTCCAACCCTGATATTCTATAATTCTATGAAAGCCAGTTTGGTTGCTTGCCCTCCCAGCCCCTGCTGGGGGGGCTCTTCCAAAGCCCCCCCCAATTGGTAAAAACATTCTGATTTCCTCCCAGCCAGTTTATTCCCGTGCCAACTCAGTCCTTGAGCTTCAGCCGCTCCTTCCCCCCCCCCCAGGATTTCTGGCTCTGCCACTGGCCTGCTGAGTTGCCACCCCTCTGTGCCTCAGTTTCCCCAGCCAGACACAGGGATAACGATCCTGTCCTCCTTCAGAAAAGGTTTTGAGATCGACTGACGAAAAGCTCTAGATTGATAAGAGCTATATATTATCATACTAGCCCGTAGAACTCATGCCAATCCCCGGAACAAAATGGGTCATACCAACCGCAGGTTGTTGGGTTTTTTGGGGGGCAGCATAACTGTGTCTACACTAGGGCTTTTGCCGCTCTAAAGTCGTCCTTCAAACCCCACACTCCCCGCTAGCTGATCTTGCTGCACCAGCAAAAGTTTCACGCTTAGCCCTGACCTTTGAGCCTCAGAAATTGCTACATCAGGGTCCAACGCTCCAAAAACTGTCCCACCCCCAGCGTGTTACGGCGGAAAGGAACTGCTTTCCGAGCTCCAAAATGGCCCCCACGAGGAGCCAGAGGGAATCCCCACCCGGCAGCTAGACCCAACCCAACTTTTATAGGTTCCCTGACTCAATCAAGCTCTTCCACCCTGCAAAGTGACTCAAAAGGCAGGGGCCAGGCCAGCCACCCAGTTCTGCACATGTGGCTTCCCCTCCCCACCCCAGAAGCTTCTGTTCCCGTCAAGCGGAACAGCTGGGCTGGGAGTTGGAGGAAGATTGTATTTAATGCTTTTAACCTCCAGTAAGACACTGGAGAGAACGGGGGACAGGTGCGCCACTGCCTGGCCCACTCAGACAAACCCCTGATTCTCCCAGGAGTCTCTCCCTGCCCACATGTTAAACCCAGGAAGCAGAAAGAGACTCAAACCCAAGCCCCAGTTTATTGGGAAAGGAAAGAAACCTATTTCCCCCCCCCTCCCCAGTCAGCAGAACAGCTGGTTGCTACCAGCACCCAAGTCAGGGCTGCAAAGAAAAAAAAAAAAAATCAATCTACCACTTCCCCTTTCTTCCAGCCCCCACCCACCCCAAGCAAGACTGATTTTTTTTTTGGGTGTGTGCGCGCTGTCGCTGCTTCCGGACAGCGAGGAGTTTCTCGAGCTTGTTCCTGGCCGTTTTAATTCAAACCCCCACATCCACCCAAGAAGTTTCAGCCCTGGGGCACTCCCACCCCTCCTCCTCCATGCTGCACGGGGGAAATATTTCAAACCAAGGAGGGGAAAAGGGGAGTGGGGGAGAGAAGAGAGAGGACACCCCTTTAATCGGATCATTGCCCCCTCCCCTTCCAAACTTGAATTCAACCCCGCAAGTCCACCCATGAGAAGTTTCAAGCCTTCCCCCATCAGACCTGAATTCAAATCCCCCCCCCCCACATGCGCCCATCAGAAGTTTACACGTGCCTCTACTGCCCCCCCTTAATGGAAGGGGGGTGTATTTTCAAAGCAAGAAGCGGGGGGGGGACCTTTAATTGTATCGTTTTCTCCCCTCCTACAGAGCTCGCATTTAGAATGTAACTAGCGATCAGTGCATGCCCCCCCCCCGCGCATTGCAGAGTGTGTGTGTGTGTGTGTGTGTGAGAGAGAGAGAGAGAGAGAAACTGAGAGGCGGGCATGGGGGGGGGGGGCATCCTGCTCCCATATCCCTGCCCCCACCTTGAGAATCTGAGTTTCTCTTCAGAGTTGTCTTGTTACTTTTGTTAGTATTATCATAGAACCCAGAGACAGGCCCG